CTACACTAAGGTACACAATTCTACGTATCGGTTTTTATCCCAAAATTGTGAAATTCATGGCCCCATGGGTCAGGGGTTCCAGTGCTAGGGTGGGGCTCTATTGATAACATAGTGAAATTGCACAAATTCTTTGAAAATCTTCTCTTTGCTCCTGGGCGTTAAATAAACCAACCAAGTACATAGTTACGTTGAATAAGGCTACCTCTTCAAAAATTGTGAATTTCATGGCCCCAGGGTTAGGGGTTCTGGTGTCAGGGCTGGGCTCTTTTGATTATATACAGTGAAATTGCATAAATTCTTTGAAAATCTTCCTCTCTGCTCCTAAGCGTTAAATAAACTAAGCAGGTACAAAGTTATGTTGAATAAGGCTACCTCTTCAAAAATTGAATGTCATGGCCCACGGGTCAGGGGTCCTGGTGTTAGGGCAGGGCTCTATTGATTATATAGTGCAGATACATTAATTCTTCAAAAATCTTCTTTTCTATTCCCGAGCATTAAATAAACTAACCAAGTACAGAGTTTTTTAATTAAGACTGCCTCTTCCCAATTAGTGAATTTCAGGGCCCCTAGGTCAGGGGTTCTGGTGTTAGGGTGGGACTCTAATGATTATATATTGAAATGCATGAATTCTTTGTACATTTTTTCCTTTGCTCCTTGTTAATATGCCAATGATCTAATTACATATTTAAGACCAGCATTTATTTTATTTTCAAGTTTTCAAACCCGCCACTCAAGGTTTTGAATTTTCAGAAAAAAATAAAACATTTTTTTTCCTTTCCGATGTCAAATTTGACTCGGGATCGAGATTTCAAATTTACGAACTCGTACTCCCGGTTTTAAAATGAACATGGCGGGTAAATAAAGATATATCTGCAAAGTTCATGGCAGCACCATAGCTTGGTTTAATGTAAATATTTATCGATAAGAATGCCATTCAAAACGTTTCACCCGTTCAAAGGACAGACTTTGTTGCACAATGACATGCTGGTGAGATAATTACGTATTCGTATTCAAAAGTATCTGTCTGTAAATTATTTTCCTCCCACAGGTTTAAAACTTCCCATGGTTGCTATTGTCAGCGATATTGTTTAGGTCTCTGTTATGGCTTAATGTCGAAGCATTCTTCAGGAAAGGGTCGCCTATGCATCAGATGTAATGAATAAAACTATGGGAGAAGTCAAGGTTTCGTCAAAGGTCAACTTGTCTAAAAAATTATTTTTACAATAGCTCCAAAACTATGTGTCTTAAAAGGTCAAAACGTTTATAAATATATCATTGATCAAAAGATAGAAAGTATCACTTGATAACAAATATTTTTAAAAAGATATTTTTTAGAAAAAAATGTATCAGAAAATGTGCATATTTAAAGAAATATGTACCTGCTTAATTCTGTCCTTTTTGTGAAAACCAACGTTGTAGAAATAATATATGTTTATCATTGAAGGGTAAGTTGGACGTGAATGGTCTCTGAAAGGCTGTTATTGAAGGCCTGACATCTATAAAGACAAGACCCCTATAGAATCCGCCATTTGCAATGTACTTTCACTTTCAAGTCTTAACATTTGGACAAAATAAACAGTTAAAACAACTTTCTAGATGCTATCCAAGTCCAACTTGCCCTTCATTGATAAACATATTTTGTTTCTGCAGTGATCGTTTTCACTAAGAGCACAGAATTAATTAGGTGTTTTTTTTTTTTTTTTTTTTTTTTTTGAAAATATATGCATTTTTAAGAAGAATTTTTCTCAATTAATATTATTTTAAGTATTTTTTTTTATCAAGTGATACTTTGCATCTGTTAATCAATGAAAAATTTATAAACTGTAAAAGTTTTAACTTTATACCTCACATAGTTTTGGAGTTATTGTAAAAATAAATTTTTGGACTTGTTGACCTTTGACGAAACCTTAACTCCATTTGAGGAAGAAAATCAACAATAGCCCGAAGAAATAAAAAAAAAAATCAACTATTAAAGAGCAAGTATACACAAATATACGAGGGGCGTTCAATAAATAATGTCATTAGCTCGATGACATACAACATAGTAGTCATATGACATAAAGCTTGACTTTCTCTCATTATTGAATCTTTAATGAATTTAAACAGTTTATGTGACCACTTTTCATCACATAGTTTTATCGTGAGAAGCTGGGAAACAAGGGCTATTCGAGACACTGCATTATAAATGAATGGTAAAGAATCAGTAAACTAGAGTGAAAATAAAAGCTACATTAAAGCTGCTGTAAAACTTGTTAAAAATCCCAAAGAAATAATCACTGAAATATGTGACATTTACAGCAACCGATGCCTGTTTTATAGACAAATTAGCAGGTGGATTTCAAAGACAAAAAATTATATAATGGGCATAAAAAATGGGTACCCTCCTTGCCAACAAAAATTATAACAACTTATGTACTGTTTGCCAAATTTCAACAAATAATATTTGATGTTGTATGATTGATTTTAAGACACATAGCAAATTTGATAGACATCATATCGGGAGTAGTTTACACTGTTTTTAAGAAACGTTTGACAGTAATTAAGCTTGGTACTCTAAGGTCACCCTGTATTTTTAAAAATGAGTGAACACGACAGCGTGTACAAAAGTCTTAACAATTATTTCAAAATATCAGTAATTGTAGTAATCCACGTTTGTTTTATATTCAAACAGATACTGGAACATGAATCTATTGCTTAAAGCCATTAAAACAAAATTTACCATAAGATGTACTTGATCAAAACGGCGAAGGTCTGTCAAGAGCAAAGATATGCAAGAGCACAAAAACAGATTTATATGCAATTTTCTTAAATATTAGTGGTATTATTGTTCAAATTCGTATTCGGGGAGACAGTTTAATATCTGGAGGTGTCTAGAAAGCAGTTTTTTTTGCAAAGAAATCGAAAGGTTTATCAGAGAAAGGACCCAGAATCAGGAATCCACTACATTGAATTTCTTCATGTCAGCGTTTAAACCCGCATGCCCTAAAGAGTAAGGGGTTTACGGGATAAACAGAAAGTTAATGTTTTTTCACATTAACAATATTTGCCAGATCTTTGACCTTTTGACTTGTTTCTATTTCCAATCTTGAATAAAACACCTTTCAGAAGGAAAAAACAAGTCCAGAAAATCATTGGATCTGCCATTTTCCAGTATACTAAGGGTCATACGCAAAAATGAGTTCTAAAAACAATCAGAAATTGGATAAAAAATGTTACGGACATGTGTTTGAATTGAAATAGATTAATAAGTAAAATCATGAAGACTAAATCATTGAAAAGCGTCGTTTGCTTCTTTCTGAGCCCCAATGACATTATTTATTGAACGCCCCTCGTATAGACATGTAGTATCGATTGTAGCAGCCAGAAAAAAATTATTTTACACTTGATTAAAAAAATGTTCACCCTACTCCCAAATACTCCCTGTCTGTTTTATGATAGGAATTATAATTTTAGGCATCAAGTATATTTTAGAACAATGTCTACACATTCACCTAACAAATATTTAAGAAATGAATATATATTGAAAGAGCTTTAAAGGATTGTTTCTTTAAAATATATTTTGATCAACATCACAAAATTTATGTCACTGGCCAAAACTGGCAGACGATGAAATAAGCAATTAAATGTTCTACATTCCTATTTGTAAGCATGTGTCCAGTGGCAAGAAAAGCCTGATAGGATAGCATAAAAAGATGCAAATAATAATTGATTGATCGAAACAAATATTTTTTTATAATTTCTTTTCCTTTGGGACCTTTTCATTCTGATGTTCGTAACTAAACCTAAAAATAAAACAAAATGCTGGCCTCATGATGAAGAAAGGTGCGTCTTTCAAAATGGATAATTTCAGAGCCCCTGTGTCAGGGGTACCGGGGGGTACTTTGTTTAAAAATAAATTAATGCTTTAAAATCTGCCCTTTGATAACAATGGTGCCTCTTTCAAAATTTGTGAATTTCATTGCTTTGGGATTAAATAAAAAAAACAAACCAAATACAATCGCTGGAAAGTTGTTACATGACACCCAGGTGACCTTTAAGGCCCGTGGGCCTCTTGTAGGGTGTTCAACTTTGTTTGTACGCCCTAGGTTACCATCTAAATCCACAAATATGTCTTCATATGGGCTCAATACTGAAGACAACTCATTTTTACCGTTTCTATAATGCTACATGAAACGTTTTTCATTATAATTTTAGATGATCGGGTAAGCATTCAGTCTCTGTAACGCTAACGTCAATAAGGTCAGTACATGTATGCGTATGATTTTCGTTATAATTGACCAAATCAGTAGCAATCATATTGCTTTGAATTGTCGCCACTTGCGTGTTTTCTTTATTTTCACGGGTTCTTGGTTAGGATTAAGAATTAAAATTGTTATTAATCAACAATTTATGAGGAAATAAAGCTCATGATTACAATCGAATATAAAATATTCTAATTTTTTTAATAAGTGGCTCTAGGGTCAATGGTTTCTGTGGGATGGGGTGCACAACTGTTTATATGTATAAAGTGGAAATACATATTCTTTTTGTTACTCTGATCTACCTCCGGGTATTAAGTAACCATGTTTAGCATGCTAATTGTATAGCTATGATAAGCAATAGTGTCTTTTTTTTAAATTGTGAATTTCATGGCCTCTAGTTTAAAACTCGAATCAAATTCAATTGTTGGAAAGTTGTTAGTTACATAATATGCAAGTGACCTAAAAGGCCCGTAGACCTCTGGATTTTATAGATTTGGTTTAGTTGCACCCAAACACTGAGCTTCCATAATGATGATGCTTTGAATAGAATTAGATCTTGCATTCATACAACTGATACGAGCAATTTTCCCTACAATGTTGAATCTCTGCCGTTTATGAAAGCTAGAAAATATTCTAACATACTAATTGGTATCAAATTTTAATGGTTTGAAATAAAATTAATACAATTTATCCTTAAAAAGGATTTCTCTTCTCATTTATACCTGGTAATCAAACATCACAAGTTAGTAAACAATGCTTGTTAACTTTATTGCATCGAACTAATACAGTTTTGTGTGATTCTTATTTTAATTTCATCCTCTCCGAATGTAAATGTTAAGAGAATCTGCTTTACCAAACTCTGAAACAAAGGGATGAAAGACATTAATACATATAGTCAACACATCAGTGACGAGAACAATATTGCCATCCAGTAAAGAACTGCGAACGATAGTATTGTTCTCCCGCCTACCTCCAAGTCAATTTTCAAAAGTTAACATATTTGATGAATTTTTAATATTTTTATAGATAATTCTATGGATTTTCTTAAAACAGTACTTATTTGGGAAAACAAAGAGAGATAACTCTAAAATTTTGGTAAAACTTGTGTTTTTCACTATAGAAATCAACGGAAAACGGAAAATATTTTTAAAACATCTCTCTCTCCCCCCCCCCCCCCGTGTCACAAAAATTCCAGGTAATATGAAATGTTATTTCACAAATTCATACCAAAGCTTTTTGTGTGACACGAGGGTGGGGGGATATGTTTATTGACAAAAAACGATAATAATGTTTATTTTCCACCAATATCAAAGCGATTTACTACTGAAACATTATATTTTATTGATATATTCATGTTTTAATTATTTGCCTTAGACAAAAGAAAGATATAAGGAACATTTAATCATATCCAAGACTATTTCAAAATATGGTGATGCCTGAAACTCCGATTTCAATGGAAAATATCGTCTACACCCCTTTTTTCAAGAGCTGGAATTATGGATAATTTACTGTCTAGCGCTGGTATCAAGACAATTAATCAATTACCATTGAACTGTTCCTTGTATTTAACAAAGATTTTAAGGCCAAATTGCTATTCATTTTGAATTAAATGGTTCCAAAATGTAGACGGGAATCTAGAGTTAGCGTGCGTATTTCTTCAGTATTCAATGTTATTTTTAGTTTAACATTTCAAACTCCCGCGTAAAACTGAATGAAGAAGCCACCATTTGCTGTATAATAATCGTTCTAATAAAACATTTTGCATGTCAATATCATTAAAAATTCTTCAACTTAATGTTTTTCCCACGATTATAATTTGTTCACGTAACTCGGTCGATAGAGGGCTCGCTTCGTAATCTGGAGGTTGTAATTTCGACTCTCGAGTGCGACTGACTTTAGTCGATAATAAATGGGAAGCAACTGTTACTTCACCTTGTGCTTTGCACTTAAAGTGAAAGTTGAGAGTCCTTATGAGGAGACATTAAAGACAGAGGCCCCGTATTCATTACAGGCCTCGGCACAATAATGATCCATCACTGCAAAATGCCCCTGAGAGCCGAGTAAAGGTCAACATTTGAAGCCCTTCATCGGTATATGGTGACGTTTCTATATGAGTGAAAAATTTTCGAATGGGACATAAAACAACGTACAGTCTACGTGAAGAATGAGGAGAAAGGATTGCGGAAATGGCAGTTTATACATTATTTTACTATCAAGACCTTAACACAGACTTACTTCTATCATTCCATTTGGTGATCTTCCCATTATTGCTATATAAAAACTGGGGATACGGCTTTTGTTTTTCCCAATCACAAGGTTTGTTTCCCTTAACATCAGTCACAACGAACCAACCGCTATCAACATGGCATCCACCGTACCTTTGATTGATGAAAAATTTTCGACTGTACCGTGTTTCTCTAGAAGGAAATATACTTCTCATATTAGAAAATTCAAGAGAACAATCTAGTAATAAGTTTTATATACTCTTTAAAGCTGCAAGAATAATTTAATTTTTTCAATATCCTAAACCCCTCGTCACCCCCTAAAAAGAGATAAATGTCTTGAGAAAGAAAAATGCGCACTTGTCAATTGAAAAGAAGTTGTAAGATCCACTCTTCTTCATGTCCGTCCAGCTAGTCTGTAGTATTCTGCTATTATGAAACCAATTAATGTAGTTGGATCCACGTCCATCAAACTCAATAAATGCTACAGTTCTTCCCCGAGTACTCAACTCAAATTTGACCTGAAAACATAAGGCAAGAATGAACTGCATTTTATTAATATAAAATATTACTTTTCTTCGCACAAAATGACTATCAAAATGGCTAATATGTAATTAAAACATCTTATTTTAAATTCTCAAGACATATAGAAACGCATTTTGCTTTATCACCCTCAAAATGGCAAATGATTCTTTTCTAACACTTCATTTTTTCATGTATATATTAATATGTATCTACCTGAAGAACATTGAGACAGTCCCAGTAATCTATTAAAGGACTTCGTAAGATTCTTCTTGGAACAACACCAAGGGTTTCGAATCGTAGATTTTGGGGAAGGCATCCATTGGCAGTCGAACAAGAGCAATCTTTACTAAACATATCGCATCTGGCATTTTTTGTTTTCCACGTTTCTAAAATGCTTTCACCATTTCCACTTACAGCATGAAATACAAGTTGCCAGTCACCTTGAGAAAAATAGATATTAAGGAGAACGACAAAAACTGATTTTTTTTCACCCAATGTTTTTAATATTAAAAGAACAATTGTCCTATCTGATGCCCTTTCAGGTATTTTCCGATTTTCCTTGTGACTAAGAAACCGTTTTTAATGTTTATTTACGCCAATGTAGTGATAAGAAAGATTTAACATTTGATTTTCTGTATAGTAAATTATTGCATCTTAATTAATAATTGTATAATCCTGTAAGGTACAAATAATGTAATAATACTATTTTAAATAGGACTTCAGCAATTGAATTCAGAGATTTGACTACTAATGTTACAAATGAAAAAGGGAAAAACAAGATGTGTTTGTGAAACACCATGCGCCCGGCGGCAACAAAGTTCGAAGAAGCTACTTTTAGCATATAGGTCACAGTCAAGGTCACAAGGTCATTGATCTTGGTGTCATTTGATAGAAATTAATTAGAGGAGTCTACATACCAAATATGAAGTCTCTGTCTTTAATGGTTCAAAAGTTATGGTGAAAGTTCGAAAAAGCTATTTTTAGCATATAGGTCAAGGACACAAGGTCATTGACCTTTGTGTCATTTGAAAGAACTAAATTAGTGGAGTATGCATATCTAATATGAAGTCTCTTTCTCTCATGGTTCAAAAGTTATGGCGAAGGTTAAAATTGACAATAGACAAACAGATAAACAGACAGGACAAAAACAATATACGCCTTGGATCTATCGATCCGGGCGCATAACAATCTACAATGTTTGATTTTATAATAGTTTAATTCTCTTTACCTTTACAGGTCTTATTTCCATCTGCAATATATATAGCAAGAATAAGAATCAAAATAAGAAGCCGCATACTGAATCTGTTCCTCGTGTTTTGTTTATAGCTGGAGCTGTCAATATACAAAAAATATTTATAAAACTACTTTTTACAATTAAACACAAAAGTACATGTCAGGAAATATTTAATCAATGATTTGACGCATTAAATTTGAAAAGTAAAGTTGGCAAGGAAAACGGTGTATTGTCTTCATCACAGATTTAAATAACTGTTAAATTGACAAGAAATACTAAAACTTTCAAAGGGTTTTTGAAATGCTACATGAAACCTACCTTTGTTTCGAAACGTTTTTGCTGTGTCCTTAGTGACAAATGCTTATTCAAACTGAGCTATCATATTTATATATCAATATAATAGTTATAATAAATCTCTGAATATAACAAATTACGCTGACAGTATCAAATAATGTCAGTATCGTTTTGTGTATTCTGCAGAATGCAACATCCACTTATGGAGTCATATTTTACGTGAAACTCACAGTTTTGTAAGAAGCAACAGGTTTAATTTTATCCATGATACATTTTTGTTGTTGTTTTTTTTTTTTTGGATTGTACTCTTTAACTAGCAAATACACATTCATATGAATACGTACAGGTTTGCGTTATTGCAAAATGAAACGTTAAAAATCTTTTAATTAAAAAAAATGGAATATGCACAATTGCGCATGCATGATAAAAAAAAACCTTAATAGTTTTAAAGTATGTGTTTTATTTATTTTTAATGGGTTCGTACAAATTTCAGTTAACTGATTGGTCAAAAGGCAACACCCCCCCCCCTGTTTATTTTGTATATTTCTAACAATTTAGTTATCGTTTTTTACTTTAATATTTGGAAATCGTCCAGACCTGTTTAGACAAAGTTCAGCTGTTTATTGTTGGTTGAAGTGTTCGAAAAAAGAAAACGATTTAAAGTCAAAGTTTAAGCTACTGTGTATAATTATACAAGAAAAATACTTAAGTTAAAGTGTTTAGTGGAAATTTAGTCATAAAACACAACCTAACAGTGATTGCGAAAAACCCACACCTTAAAGCATATTGTTCAAAAATTTTACGAACTTACGTTTTCAATGCAACAATACTACAACTGTCGATATTCGTTTGAAAATAACTACTCGAAGTAAGACTGAAAACTCAGAAATTTTAAATAAGGATGGATTTCAATCTAACATTAAACTGAAATCGATCCTGCAACAGATGTACAAGTACATGTTTGGTCCCATATTTCACTTCATTTTACAACATTCTGTTAAATTTTGAAATTTATAACATTCTCATTATTTTCTAACATTGTATTGTCCTTTTCTGAATTGCTTTTGAAAAAATTCTTTATATATTAATATATTTTGCACAAATTTTACATATTCCCGACAGTAAATGTTATAATTGTTAAAGTAATAACAAAATTACATTTTATTTAACATTTATATTTATATCAAAAATCTATTACAGTGTATATAAAATATAATATGCCAATTAAAACGTTAAGATTTATTTATTCATCAACATCTTCACACCAAACAATAGCTTGAATAACAAAACCGTAACTCTGAAAATGTCTGCATTTTTCATTCAGTTTTCTTTTATATAAATATAAGTATAAAAACATGTTAACTATATTAAATAATTTTAGCTAGAAAGATAACTTAAAAGCCACAGTTTGTATTTTAAACGTATTTCAATTTCAGTAGCTGCTTTATTACTTTCATTCAATAGATTTAACTTCGATATTCCCCTGAAATTTATTTGTTGCGCAATAACCAAAACACATGTCTTACAAAAAACCCAAACACATGTCTTACAAAAAGGCAATCTTTGATATATGTTAAAAATTCAAGGTTTTCTATTTAATAAAAGCAGAAAGTTGAAACAAAAATAAGCATGCTTTTTGTGGAATACATCTAATTTCGCTATGATAAAAATATCCTTCCAAAAGACATTGTGCTTTCAATTTTTCTTTAGCGGTGGAAGCCTTCGAATAAATGTTTACTTATTTATATTTTCTTTAATTTTATTCCTTAATTACATCAGGTTATTATGCTCATATTACATTTAATGAGTGTAGACTTAATATAAAATTACATAGGTAGTAAAATATGCAGACTGTTCATATTTTTTTTTCGTAACTTCATTGCTGACACCAGTTACCAATAGTATGTCAGACATGCGTTATACCATATGACATTACATGTCTTGTCAGTTTCTACTTATTACATGATTAGCTACCTTTTTTTCAAGCAGAGATATTTAATTTTTAAAGAAAACTAGCAATATCTATATTTGTGTTAAGTTATTGTCTGAAAAAATGTGCTTATCAGGATGATAGATACATTAATGTACCTGGTAATTTGGGAACCTGTGTAGCCTTATCACAGGTCCCCAGGGTATTATACTTGATTGTGCAAAAGCTGTGTTTTTAATGCTAAACTAATTAGAGTCAGTTGTTCTTAGGTCTCAGTCATGCCACCTAAGAAAAGTAAGAGGAATCATGGCTCCACCACGACCGCGCAAAAAAAACCAGAAGTCTGTCGAGACTGTAGCTCTACTGGTTTACACTTAAAACAAAGGAGAGAAAAGTAGCAGTTGGGACTTGAGACTTTAAAACAGCAATCAGTAGAAAAATGATCCTTGCCACTCATCAAAATAAAAACCGATGCAGAGAATTATGTATCTTATTGAAGTCTACTTGTGTGCCAAATTATATTGAAATCAGACCAAAACTGTAGGAAGAGTAGAATTTTGAAAGAATTTCACAGAAATTTCTATTTTTAGTGACCACGGCAACACCGTTCATCGAAATAAGAAACCGATGCACAGAATTATGTATCTTAGTGTAGTCTACTTGTTTGCCAAGTTATACTGAAATCAGACCAAAACTGTAGGAGGAGTAGTATTTTGAAAGAATTTCACAGAAATTTCTATTTGTAGTGACCACGGCAACACCGTTCATCGAAATAAAAAACCGATGCACAGAATTATGCATCTTAGTGTAGTCTACTTGTGTGTCAAGTTATATTGAAATCGGACCAAAACTGTAGGAGGAGTAGCATTTGAAATAATTTCACAGAAATGTCTATTTTTAGTAAACACGGCAACATCGTTCACCGAAATCAAAAATCGATGCACAGAATTATGTATCTTAGTGTAGTCTACTTGTGTGCCACATTATATTGAAATCAGACCAAAACTGTAGGAGGAGTAGCATTTTGAAAGAATTTCGCTGAAATTTCTATAAATAGTAACCATGGCAACACCATTCATCGAAATCAAAAACCGATACATAGAATTATGTATCTTAGTGTAGTCTACTTGTGTGCCAAGTTATACTGAAATCAGAACAAAACTGTTGGAGGATAGCATTTTGAAAAAAAAAATTCACAGAAATTTCTATTTTTAATAACCACGGCAACACCTTTATCGAAATCAAAAACTGATGCATAGAATTATGTATCATAGTGTAGTCTACTTGTGTGCCACATTATATTGAAATCAGACCATAACTGTAGGAGGAGTAGCATTTTGAAAGAATTTCAAAGACATTTTTATTTTTAGTAACCATGGCTACAACATTTATTGAAATCAAAAACCGATCCACAGAATTATGTATCTTAGTGTAGTCTACTTGTCAGCCAAGTTATACTGAAATCGGACCGAAACTGTAGGAGGAGTAGCATTTTGAAAGAATTTCACAGAAATTTCTATAAATAGTAACCATGGCAACACCTTTCATCAAAATCAAATCCGATGCAGAGAATTATGTATCTTAGTGTAGTCTACTTGTGTGCCAAGTTATATTGAAATCGGACCAAACCTGTAGTAGGAGTAGCATTTTGAAAAATTGTTTACAGACAGACAGACGGACGACGGACGCATTGACGTTACGCACGGTGTTGGTGTCACATTTGGTCACGTTATAAATGACGTTTAACATCACGTAAACGGAACGTAAAATTACTCATATCAGTGAGCGCGACTTTGTAAAACTTAGCATGAAGGTATCCCTTTGTTTTATAAAGTTAAAGTGACCACATCTTTTCTGCATGTTGTAGTAAATGGAAATCTTCAGTAAATGACAATTTGAAAAAAATGATAGCATTATTGAAAAGAAAACTGAATACATTATTTGCATGTAAGTAAACATCAGTGATTACTTCATCATCTTAGAACATCTTTATACTGTTTTTTTCTCTCTGAATTCTTGTTGGAAAAGCATCAACATGTCTATATATATAATCTAACAGTAAAAATCCATTTTATTTTTCCAGTTTAGAGCTCTTTTATATTCATTTCTTTGTTCAGGGTTAAAAAATGAAAAGAAACTGGAAGTTTAATGAGTAAATATGTTTATTACGTAGCGTGAAAAACGGTCATGTCAAATACACATTAAAGTATTCTTTACCACATTAATTTACTCTCTTTAAAGTTTTCAATTCTAAAAATATCTAGACGCCATTTGATATTCATATATTATGCGTTAGATATCAATCTAGTGTGTTAAGACGCTTAAATCGACGCATTCCAGGATATTTTCATTTTCCTCTTCCGTTAGGTGAAGAATTTCATTTTGTATAGATACATTTTGGCACATGTATAATACAGATGCACTTGGAACCATGGCTACTGGGCGATTTATTAGCTTATAGTCCAAGATCGAGTTTTCCTTTTTAGCAAAATACTTTCCGTTGATGACTGATGACCCAGCAACAAACGATCCACCCCATTTGTCTGTTTTGGCTTTCCGTAGAGTTGGCTTGTAAAAGGTAAAAGTCATTGTCATCATCCCCTGCGCACAGTACAGCAAACACTGTTCCCTCAGTATTAAAATCCGAGAGTGAGTCTTCGGGATATTCCTCCTCCGAAATGTCAGAATCCTTATCTGTAGTCTCGCTATTCAATTTCATTTTAAGCTCTACTGGTCAGAGACCAGAAGAGCTTATGCGATAGTAATGCGTCCGGCGTCCGTCCGTCCGTCTGTCTGTCTGTAAACAATTTTTCAAAATGCTACTCCTCCTACAGTTTTGGTCTGATTTCAATATAACTTGGTACACAAGTAGACTACACTAAGATACATAATTCTGTGTATCGGTTTTTGACTTCGATGAGCGGTGTTGCCGTGGTTACTAAAAATAGAAATTTATGTGAAATTCTTTCAAAATGCTACTCCTCCTACAGTTTTGGCCTGATTTCAGTATAACTTGAAACACAAGTAGACTACACTAAGATACATAATTCCGTGTATCAGTTTTTGATTTTGATGGGCGGTGTTGTCATGGTTACTAAAAATAGAAATTTCTGTGAAATTCTTTCAAAATGCTACCCCTCCCACAGTTTTTGTCTGATTTCAATATATCTAAACACACAAGTAGACTACACTAAGATACATAATTCTGTGTATCGGTTTTTGATTTTGACGAGTGATGTTGCCATGGTTACTCAAAATAGAAATTTCTGTGAAATTCTTTCAAAATGCTACTCCTCCTACAGTTTTTGTCTGATTTCAATATAACTTGGCACACAAGTAGACTACACTAAGATACATAATTCTGTACATCGGTTTTTGACTTCAATGAATGGTGTTGCCGTGGTACTAAAAATAGAAATTTTAGTTAAATGCTCTTAAAATGCTACTCCAAATACAGTTTTAGTCTGATTATAATATAATGTAATATTATATAAATGGTGCCTGTTTTGGAGTGTAACAGTTGAAATTGACACCCCAAGGAAAACCATTGTCAACCGACGCGTCAGCGGAGGTTGACAATGGTTTTCCGAGGGGTGTCAATTTGAACTGTTACCCTCCAAAACAGGCACCATTTATTTTATTATACTGAATGTCTTCTTGATTTAGGATGTCAGAAAAAAAAATCGTCGATCGTCTCTACAATCACGTTTAAAAAGCTTTCAAACTCCACGCTACTTCGAAAAAGATTTACTGACCTCTTTATTGTTTATTTGATAGTCTAAAAGTTCTTTATCATCTAAAATTTCGTTATTTCTGCACTCGCAAGCATGTTTCGTCTGTCGTTTGTTGTTTTCAAGTAAGCTACATCGGACGCAAGCTTTCATCGACGTCAAGTTTATTCCGGTTCTTTCA